GCTTTAAATCATCCCTGCTCAGATAGGAAATTCCAATAAACTAACTGGGCTTGGCTGAAATCATTCCTTTGATTTAACATTGGTGCTAGATCTGAGATGAATATAAGTTTGTTAGTGACTCCTCAGGAAAAGTCAAAGCAATGCTTAATAAATATTTTGTATTGTTTTAGGAATTAACTACCTTACATTTGAATTGCCTATGTTCTAGTCTGAAGAATAATATTGTCAGAATTACTTAACCAGATTCTCCAATAATAATACAAAGGGAAAAATAGATCCATAGTCTGTGGAAATGACTCTAATTTGACTTTACAGGCTTTCTTCTTATCCTAGCTCAGGTATCAAGAGGGATATCAAACATTTTGAAAGAGAAGAAAAGAGAAAATTGGATATTTCAGGTACCCCAACACATCCACCAATTACAGACAATTTATTGCACTGACACCCTTCGGATAAAACCCCAAAGGACATTACATAACTACTAAATTTACTGTAAGTTCCTCAACTGACTGCAAGTGGTAATAGCGAACACAGGAGTATAAACAGAACAAACTCTTTGGAAAAAAATAGCATACTGTATTCAAATTGTGACTTCAATTTTAAAGTAGCTTAGTGAAAGCTATGCATAATTATTACACAATTTACTGTAAACGACATTTTTCATAGGAAATGTTTTAAATCCATACTCTTTCTGTGTTCATATTTCCCCATGTTCATTTTTGCAGTATTTGGTTATTAGGGAGTAATAGGATTTGATGTTCATCAATATGTATTTATATTCAAAGCTAATTTGCATTTATCTGTCATATTGTATCTCATTTAATACAGTACACTATTTTAAATTTCAAAATATGCTCAGAAGGGTACATTGATAATTTTATATTCCTAGTTCTTTAGAAATATAGACAAGAAGTGTGAATGTAGTTACATAGTAAATCCTTCAAAAAATAAAGAAGTAAATAAAAGACAAAGAAAAGGATTGAGAAGAAAAAAAAAGAAAGAAGGGGCTTGGTATATGTGGTGATATATTGTATATCTCAATAAAGCTTACCTGGGGATCAGAGGACAGAGCCAGCCACTAAATTAGACATAAAGTTCAGGCAGTGGTGGCACACACCTTTAAACCTATCACTCAAGAAGCAGAGACACATCTGGATCTCTGTGAGTTCAAGGCCACATTTGGGCTACATGAGAGAAACAGAACCAGGCAGTGGTGACACATGCCTTTAATCACAGAAAGTAATATGGCAGGACACAGAAAGGTATATAAGGGGTGAGGAAACAGGAGCTCTGTCTCCTGAGCATGAGGATTTTGTAGAGGTAAACTGGTGGCTGGCTGTTCTTCTTGTCTCATCTTTCAGCTTTCACCCCAATATCTGGCTCTAGGTTTTTTTATTATAAGACCTTTTAAGATTTGTGCTACAGGTATATGGCTCAGAAGTCAATTGTACATAGTGCTTTTTTTAGAGGACCCAAGTTTAGTCCATAACACTGATGATATCAGCAGTTCACAGCTATCTGTAACTTTAGCCACAGGGAATCCAACACCGTCCTCTGACCTCCAAGGACACCTTCACGTAAATGCACATACCATTACACAGACACACATACATACACTTATTTAAAAATAAAATGAATCTTTTAAAAAAAGTAAATTAAAGCCAAATCACAAACCAAACCAGAACAAGGACAAGAGTGTTAGTGGATGAGAACAGAAGGAACACTTTGAAGCAGGAACAATATGAGAATTTAAAGTAGTATTGTATTGTTGAATCAATCCAGATTGTTTTCATCACAGTATTGGAGGTATAGATCTAGACAGTTCCTTTAATATTGTAAAGGATATTGGATGAATAACTTTGGAGGGCTTTCTTGCTGTTGTTGTTTGGATTTGTTTGTATACTCTTAGTGCTTAAATACAGGGCAACCTGTACTTTAGAAAAAAGCTCTGCCACTGTGATACTTCTCCAGTTAACATTTATTTACTTTTAAATATTCACGCAATGTGAAATTCCAGAAGCTATCTTTAAGAAACATTGTGATTGTTAAACAAGTACATTATAGGCATAAAACACTCCGTCACATAATATTGGGATCCTTAATTTTCATATGCAGAGAACAAGGTCTAAATACATACCTCTTATTGAATAATCATGAAATTTATGAAATACTTAAACTATCACACATATAGTCAAAGAAGAAATAACAAGCAAAATCTTAGGCTTATGTCACTAGAAGGAATGCTTATGAGAAAGACAGAAGGCCTAGTTGAATTGTGTGCCAATTTTTGATATTGCAAAAAGATTGCACATGTCATTTGGCTGTAAGTTTTCTGTGCATTTAAGTTTTCAGATAGCTCTATGGGTTATGTAAATAGACAAAGATCCTGTTGCAATGTAAGATAATTTTATTTTATGATACTCAACTTAAGGAACTGCAAACATGATCTCTGAAGCGATCTTACTGTTTGCTGTTCTCACAACTATGAACTATATTTCCATTTAATGTATTTTTCTCTGCCGTCCACAGGTTATCATGGCTGAGTTTTCAACCATAATATTACTTGTAATGTAGTAAAAATTATTTTACCATTGTCTTCCTTTCATCATTATAATGATGATATAAGTCCATGTTTTATTATTAATGTTGTCTCCTATTCTCAGTTTGTATTTTCTATTTTTTGAAAACTAAGAAAATTTACCAGTTTTAAAGAAGCACAATTTGTTTTCCTATGTCACATATGATTTTTATATTGTATGAAGTTTATAATAAATGACATATCTAAGATTATTATATAGCCTGTCTTGTTTCTTATAAGAAGATAAACATCTTGGATGATAAATGTAGCTCTGTAATACAGTGAGAGTTTATTTAGGTTGCAAGATAGGAGCTTGAACACATTGTATTTTTAAAGAAATGCCACTGTCTAATAATATTCTTTCAGCTTTGGCCACTCCTATCACAGTATTTGAAAATCAGTTTACCTTACAGGCACAGCTTCATTGTTGATTTGAGATTATGAGCTATTAGATAGCACATAGGTATCCAAGGTTTCAGAATTATTTAGAAACAGTATGTCCCTTTCCTTAATTGAATAACACTTTTAATTTATTTTTTATTTTATTTTTGAGACACCATAATTACATCATCTCTCTCTTGTATTTGTTTTTTAATATTAGATTTTACTATTTCATTTTGTTAATACTCGTTAATTTTAGATATATTAGGAGTTAGATAATCAGATATTAAATTCAATTTAGATAATCAGTTCTTTAGTAGTAGATAATCAAATGGCGTGATCGTTCCAGGAGATAATTCTATCTGAGTTGTAGCATTCTTCAGTTGCCTGATGTTCTTTGTGCTGAGTTAAGGGTTTGTGAACTTCCACGTTTACACATTGGCGGTCTATTGCTGCTATCTCTGGAGCTCTTCATGTGTTCGTTTGACACAGCTTTTACTGCCTCCTTTTACCTATACTGGCATTCCCATACAAGGAGTTGTGAAATGGACATTGTATCTACTTTTTGAAAGAGCCTAGATGGACAGATATTAATCATTGTTTTTAAGTAGATCTTTTCCTGCTTTTCCTGAGCTTCAGAAAAGATATGTGCAGAATTTCCAAACAACACCTTCATCTTCTGGTATTTATTTGAAAGTATTATTTGCACTCTGTATTGGACAACCAATAAAAGGCTTCAATTCTGAGAGTGGAAAAATGTTTCTTCTCCTAGCAGTCGTTAAAAGCTTATAGTAGTCCTTAAGTTAAACATAGACCTGAGTAAGCAATAAATACGTTACCTTGTTAAAGAAACTTGCAATTTTTTTTTCTTTATCAATTTGAAAATTCTAAGCACTTTAATTATTGGATTTGTGTGACTGCTGGTGTGTTGTGACATGCTAGCTTCATTCTGCACAATATGTCTTGATGTCTTTCTTTTCTAAGACTGAAATGGACGTATTATTTTGGATGCATTTTTTTACTTATTTATCCATCATTTGTAACTTACCTTACATTCAGTTTTTGAAAGTTTTGAATAACATGGCCAAACATATATGCCAACCTCTACTTTGCAATCTGTTAGGGAAACCACAATACTATTTTGACAGTAGCTTTACTATCATATTGCACAAACATAATATACAGTAACCTTAGTTGATCAGCAATTATCAGTATTGATTTTTTTCAATAGCTAACTGAAAAAAAAATGTAAAGGCACATGCTGTTGTGGTACTGAATTGAATTTCTTCAAAGATCCTGTGTTGTTGATTTGTTGATTTGAGAGGTTTAAAATCAGATGGAATGCATATCTTGGCTCATGTCAGTAAAAGATTTTCTAGGTTTCATTGACTGAGGTTGCTGGACCACCGGAAATATAACCGTAATCATTTCATGTGCTAAGATCAGAGTCTGAACACAAAGGAGAAAATAAGCTGTGCACCATCATTAATCTCATTCATTTCTCACTATGGATCTGATACAACTACCTGTTAGATGAAGTAAAACTTCAATTATTAACTTTTATGTATGAATGTTTTTTTTTTCTTACTGTTATTTTGTTGAACACACTGCCTTCCTCTAGTGGATGGTCTTGGCTCTTCAAAAAGTTTTAAATTAATGAAATAGTGTATGTAATTACTTGAATGAATGTAGACGTCAGTGTTAGCCAAAGAAACAGGAAAAAAAGATAGATGGGGATTTGCTGGCATTGGATCCTATGATTTGATATTATTTGTAAAGTCCAGAAATTCAGAGGTATAATTTAAATTTTCAGAGCTGGAGACCTAATGGTTTGGATTTCAGTCTAGACCCATGTTTCATAACCTCCCTAAGGCTGCAGCCTTTTAATTCAGTTCCTCATGTTGTGGTGACTCCCAACCATAAATGTTTTTTGTTGATACTTCATAACTGTAATTTTGCCACTGTTATGGATCATGATGTAAATGTCCAATGTGCAGGATATCTAATAAGTTATCCTCAGAGCAGTTGCCATATTTTGAGAACCACTGGTCTGTACCCAGGAATGCTCAGGCAAAAAGGAACTGCCCCAGCTCAAGTAATTGAGCAGAGAGAACAGTATACTTTCTTTCTAATTTCTGCGTATTCAGAGCTACAGTGAATTGGAAGACAGGCATCCTCTGAGGGGCCCTCATTAACGTAATTACATATGCAGATTAAAATACTAAATTTGTCTACAACACTCTCTGAGGCACATGAGGAAGATTAGTTTTAGCAGCTATCAGTGGATCCAGTGACGTAGAATAAACAACACATGAAATTAGCCACCACAATAAATAAGAAGTTTTATGTGTCACACAGATATAAAAACTATGATAAAAACAGTGCTTCAAGATAATTGTAAACTAACATTGAAATCTGGGATTTGTTCACTGTTTTATCGTCCATGTAAATTAGAGATAATTGAAATTATTGCTTATAAACTTCAATCTTGTAGACCACATAACACCAAATTAATTTGAATTATGAAGCAAAAATATTGCACTATCATTAACAATAATTGTATTTAAATGAATATAAAATGCTTTAGCTGTATGTCTGGAAACTCTATAATATCAAAAGATAAATTTATGAAAGGTAATGTTTCTGTGTATCAAGCCACCGACATTGTACAATTTATTTGAGTGTAATGAATTATTTTTTATATAGTGCTACTAATTTAGTTGTATTCTGATAAAAGAAGTTAAGAGTAGACTGAAATAAAAAGTCTAGATAACAGAAATTTACATAGGAAATCATTTCAAGTGTTACTGGGTCTTTAAACACAGACTACATGTCTAGCACTTCTAATAACAGCTTGAAGGCTGTCAGACATTGAGTTTTCATTCTACATTTCACAGTTACTGGGAACCCTGCTGAAGAAATTGGTATATATGAAGACTCAATTAACGGTTGCATAATTAGTGGCACTCTTGTGGGGTTTTTTTAGGGGTGAGAATTATCTGGCACTGACATTTGCTCTGACCTGACACGTTTTTCTTCTTCTTTTGTTAAAGTTTCTTCAGGTCAAGTGCCTCTGGAATATTTGATAAATGTATTCTTTGATTCAGAATAAAACTCAACATCTTCCTTTCCCCCCCAGTATATTCACATTGAATAAGATCTTGTGTATCTATTTCTGATATTTTTTAATTAATTAATAAATATCCTCACATTTCTGAGTGTGGGAGTTAACATTTGTCTTTGTTATTCTTTTTTCCCAGTGAACCATAACTATTTCTTGGGAGATAAAGTAAATTAAAACTTATATGTTTTTATTAATTTGATATTTTTAAAATAATGATTAATAAATCCTATTCTTAATTGAGAACTGTAATTTAAAAAAATGGAGCAGGATGTGGTGACACATGCCTGAAATCCCTGAACTTGGAGGTAGATGCCTGTGGGTCTATGTGAGCTTGCCATCCTGGTCAACATAGAGATTTCCAGGCTAGTGAGAGGTACTTTTCCCCAAATGAAACAAACAAACAAAAAAACCCACAACTTTTTTAAAATTTCATATCAAGGCTCTGGAAAGCTAGCTATGTTTGTAGTATAAGACATGATTTCCCTCCTGTAGATTCAGCAGGAGTTCCAATTGAACAGCCCTTGGCTCCCACCAACACAAGAGTATCACTTAGTGAACCTTCATGGATACCTTGCTATGCTGGAAATTGTGGTTCACAGGTTTCAGACCTAGGGCTGCTTAGTGCTTAGTTGCTTCCCTCTCCTGGTAGCTTGAACAGTTTTTTTTTTTTTTTTTTTTTTTTCAGGTACCTTGGAAGCTAGACTGCACAAAAGAGGTTTTCAGGTCAGATTAAGCTTGAATTGTCCAAACCCTTTGTTCAAATGCATGGTCTCTTCATCAGTATGGGCTCACCTTCAAGCCCCAAGAGGCATCCAAGAACAACATTGAGAATCTACATTGTTTAGGGAGTCACTTGTACTACACTGACCAATCCCTTGGACAGAAGTTTTTTCATGTTTGTTATTGGTGTTGTTGCTAGTTTGTTTGTTTGTTTGTTTTTTTGGGGGGTGTTCAGAGACAACCCATGTGGTATAGCTTATTTTAAGATCATATACATACATATAGATAGATGAGAGAGAGAGAGAGAGAGAGAGAGAGAGAGAGAGAGAGAGAGAGAGAGAGTATGTGTGTGCATGTGTGTGTATGTGTGTATATGTGTGTGTATCATACCAGCCTCTTAAAAGAAGTCTCTCTTAGGGTGTTGAGACCATCTAAGAAAACTACAATGTGACAAAGTGCTGAGCTCAAGTCACTGTAGGAATCTCAGCCCAATGAAGACATTTACATCACAGACCTTGCATCTGTGCCTAGGCTACCATCCTGAAAGGGGGGGCGTCTGGAAAGAAGGCAAGAGCTAGAGTACCAGGAGGTCTGCTGCATGAAGCAGTCCCATAGAAATGGCTTCATAAACAAGACTGGAACAATGATGCTGCTAATTGACATATTAACATGGAAGAGAGAAAACTCCACAGGGCCCCACTCCTTGATGCATACCATAGCCAACTAATGACTGAAGGGAAAAGAGAATGAGTGTTTCCCAGGGGTAGAAGGACTTATTGGCTGTCCAATGCTGCCTGATAAGCCCTGAAACAATATGCAACACCAAACAAAACAGATTCAGATTGTGCAAACAAATACACATGTACATGCACGCACACACACACACACACACACACACACACACACACACACACACACAAGCACACACACACACAAACAGATAGAAATAATAGTCAAAGATAAAGATTATCAACTTGAGCAAAAGGGGACAAACGAGCAGTTGGAGAGAGGACATCTGGGAGGGAAGAAAGAATGGGGAATGTGACTTCACTTCTATTGCAACTACAAACATAGTTTTAAAAAAATTAATGAAATAAACTACTTTCATTCATTGTATACAATGACTTACCTGTTGTGTAATAATCATATCCTTGTCCTTTAAAAGTATGCACATTTCCATTTACTCAAATTAATTGGCTTTTTTCAAGTATTAACACATTCATCAGGAGAAATCTCAAACTTATGCCTATTGCTCTTGGAATAATTTAACTAGAAAATAAATTTCAATTTTTCATTTTTGTAGGACAGTGTTTGATTTGCTTACATCCAATTTAGCTATTCAATATGTATTTTAATTTAATGGTTCTTGAATTATTCAGATTGTTTGACAACTTAAAACAAATGGCCTAAGAATTTAAACTTAGCAATAGACTATTTTCTATATTTTATTCTTATTTATTTCAGCACATATACCAGGAATGTTAAATTCAAGCTTAAAATGTGTTAATATTTGTTTATTCATGTACACTTAAAGTTCAGTGTTTGTTTCACATATAGAAATTTTTGTTTTTAAATATTTTTGTCATTTATGAAGATAGGACTATAAACTACATATACAAGAATAAACAGTTCAATATACAAACTATGCTTGTGTTCATTTAAATGAGGATAGCCCCAATAGGCTCATTATTTTCAAGCTTAGCTCCAAGTTAATGAACTCTTTTTAGAAGGATCAGGAGGTCTGATATTTTTAGAGCAGACTTGTTCTTGTTGGAGAAAGGATGTCAGTGGGGATGGATGGGCTTTGATGTTTAAAAACCCACTCAAGGCTCTGTTTTTCTCAGCCCGCTGTCTAGTATCACGATGTAAAGCTCTCAATTACAGCTTCAGTGCCATACATTGTCTGCTTCATGCCATGGTTAACATGGACTAACACTCTAAATCTGTAAGTAAGTCCACAATTAAATGCCTTTGCTCAAGAGAGTCTTGGTCATGGTGTCCTTTCTCAGCAATGGAAGAGTTGCTGAAGACAATGCTGAATGGAGCACATTTGTTAAATATTTTAGTTGTCTTGATAAGTGGTTTGGAGTAAAGTTATCATTCTGTATTGATTAATTCATTATATTGAAATCTGCATGCTATTTATAATATTATATATTATTGGAAAACTAAATATGAAGAGAAATAATGTCTACTATGATAGAATTCTATTCTTATACCAAAATGTCCATTACATTATGAAGTTCCTAAAACATTCTTTGAACATAATGAATTATAGAAAGTTGAAATCTAGTTTAGATAAACAATTCTTAGGTACATATATTAAATTACTATTATTAATAGATTCATTGCTATTATCAATATGCAAATTACATTCAAATGAATAAAATACATTATAATATTTTATAAATACTGAGAATATATCCTTCAATTTTTAAAAAAACACGGCTTTTTACCCAGAAGTTTTCTTATGACTGTGGTGAGCAGGTTTTACAAGAAAAATAAAAAATATATTATGAAGGAAGACTGGGCTTCCAGGAACCTTAAATCTATCTAGGAGTCAAAAAATGACATCAAAAAAGCAAGCAAGGAAAATATATATACAGAGAGACAGACAGACAGACAGACAGACAGACAGACAGACAGACAGACAGACAGACTTGGGAGCCCGATGCTTGGGTAAAAGCCTACTAGCTCAGATGGGCAGAACAAATACCTAGCTGACCTTCCTCAATATGACTCCTCCAACTGAATGGCCCTCCCTTCCACTTCCTATCTAGCTTTTGTGTGTCTCTCTATCTTTTCTCTCAACTCCCCATTACTCTCTATCATTTTTTTTCTTAATAGTCCTACGGTGCCTTCCTATCAACTTGTTGCTTGCTTTGATGACTCTTGACCTATAGTTAATACTTCTAATCCTGTTTATAATATTTAAGGAGAAAGCTCTTAGATTAAAGGTGTGTTCTAGGGCTGAGCCACACCACAACTAGAAATAGTTTTTTCTAGTAACCATCACAATCTCAGGGTTCACAGTGCAATCAAATACCCTGCAACACCAGATTTAGCACAAGGTATTGAATACTGTGAAATTGAAAGCACTCCCTAAAGCTCCTGCAGTTAAAGAGGGTAGCAGAACTATGTCAATGGAGAATTTACAAAAGGGGAATGCATTTTTTATTTTAAATGAATAGAAATAATGAGAAAGACTAAAATAATGAAAAGGAGAGCCATGAACTAAGGATAATTAGACTTTTAAAACTGCAGGGTTTTTTTTGTTGTTGTTTTGTTTTTTTTTGTTTTGTTTTGTTTTTGAATAGATGGCAGGAATAGAGGGAGTGAAACAGTAGTATCAAAAAAAGGAATCTACTTTTTTTAAATAGGAAAATACATAAAATTACAGAAAGAACAATACATATATGTAAATTCTAAAAAAATATAAATAAACTTTATTTTTCTACTGCTAATCCTGTAATAATAAATACCATTAAGTAACTAAATAGATTGTAGTAGCCATAAAATAAACATAATAGCTTATGTGTAAATGTTCAAAGCAGTTAATAGAATACACAGTAAAAATCAGAAGCCATATACAACAGTTACTACAAAACAATAGAAAATGAGCAAATTATCACATATATTAATATGTTTGAGCTAAACTTTCTAACTAAGGAAATTTGCAGTAATGATAATTGGTATATAATGGAATTTTTTTAATTTAGGTATGAATATAGAACAAAGAAAATCTGAACAAATCAAAACACATGGAAGATAAAAACAAAACAACAAAAACAAAAATAATGCAGACTATGAAAAAAATAATAAACTCAAGATAAATATCAGAATGTGAAATCCCACAATCATATCAATGTTAATATTAAACCAAATTTAATTTAACTCAAATTTGATAAGTGTATGAAGCTCTGGAAAATATGAGGTAAGAGATAAAATAGTATTCAAATCATTTATTTTAATCTGTATTATAACATTAGGAAACAAATTTCTTCATATTAGTGACATTGTACTATTTTTGACAACTTTAATTCAAATCCTCATAAAAACATTATAATATAAATGTATAAAAATAACAATAGAATTGTTGATAAGATAACTCAGCAAAGAAAGTCACTTGCTAACAAGCCTGATGACCCAAGTACAATTCTGAGCTATACTTGGGAGAAGGCAAGAAACAACTTAATTCTCAAAAGCTGTCCTCTGACCTCTATGTATATGACATGTGTGCCCTAAATGCATATGACTCCATCACATACAAAAATAAAAAATAAAAATAGTATGAATTAAAGGCAAAATTTCTGAGAAAAAAATACCAAGTTACTTGTAGAGTGCATAAAAGCAAGTTAACATTAGTTTACTAGACATTGTCCAGAATAAGATATCAGAGACATTATTTTTCTTTCTTTCTTTCCTTTTTTTCCTGGAGTAAATGCTGAAAGATCAGAGAGACAAAGAAACAAGCCACAGCCACCTCTTACCTCTTCAACACTTCAGCTGAAAAGGACTGAGCTCCTTTCTCCTCCTACGTTATATTCCTTTTCTATGACCAGCCATATCACTTCCTATCTCAATCTCCCTAGTGCTGGGATTAAAGGCATGTGTGCCTCCCAATTACTGGCAGCAAAGGCATGAGATCACAAGTGCTGGGATTAAGGGTATGCGCCACCACTGGTTACCTTTATCCTCTGATCTTCATGCAAGCTTTATTTGTTAGAGCATACACAAAATATCACATTTCCCCTTTTTGCCTAAAATAAAAATAGAAGACTATAACTAAAATAAGAAAAACTATACAATAGATACAATAACTTTGTATAATATATACAGGCAATAATCACATAAATATTGTCTAGTCCATTAAGAGTAAACAAATTCAAAGAAAATACTCCATTATTTATCCTATTTTGGCAAGTCCAAAATGTTGTACCTTATTCCCTTCTTATCTTAACTTGAATTACCAACCAAAAACTACCCTTTTATGTCTCTCAACCTTACACACTTTTCTGAATTTATGAACAAGGAAAACTATAACTGTAACTATTCTTCAACTTCCTCAGAAGCCTGAGAAGAAAATAATATTGAGTTAGCAGGAAGTACAAGCAAGCAACATTCAAAATTTGTGAGAAATGACAAAAACAGTCTGTACAGTCACCCACGGTTCTTCTGCAACGTTGGAGCATCCATCTTTGACCTATAAGCCTAGCATATTTGACAGACTTATTTGTGACACTGGATTTTCTGAAGAGCTTTCTTACCTTGTCTTGGCAAAGTTCAGTAATCCTTTCTTTTGTGTCCTGCTTGTCCTATTTGGGCAGCATACTCTCAGCAGTTGAGGCAAGGTCATTTTCTTGTTCAGTTGCTTACTTTTGGCACAAAAAATGAATAAGAAATACAGAATATGACACTTAAGATATTTAATAAAATAGGTTCTTTTTTTATGACTATGAGACATGTCTACTCCTGGCAGTACCAATCTACTTCAGAGTTGATGATGGGTATCCAAGAGACATTATTTTTTTAATGAAAACATAATTACATTTTTATGTAAGTTAATATAGTTTATTACATAATTACTTCCCCCTTTCTACCCCACAGCCATGTCCATGTCCTGCCTCTATTCCTTCTCAACTTGATGATCTCAGTTTTTGTTTTATATAAAAATACATAAACCTATTAATATAATTAACAGAGTTCATTTAGTTTTGCTGATAAGTATGTGATTTCAGGGCTGACTAATTGATATTGGATTTTTTGCTGGGGATGACTATTTTTCTTGCACTCAGCATTATGTTTTCCCAGTAGTAATTGGTCCTAGGGGTTACCCTTCTGAAATTCCCCTTTTTCATGTTAACATGTCTATTGGTGTTGTCTTTTTAAAGACAGCCATATTATTGAAGAGATATGGATGAAGCTTCCCTGTCACTTCTGAGACACAATCTCACAGCAGATTTCCTTGTCATCTGGCTCTTACAGTATTTTCCCCCTGTAATGCAATATTTTAAGAAACAAAAAGGAGTGTCTGGAGAAATGGTTCAGCAATCAATCACATTTTCAGCTCTTCCAGATCACCCAAATTTGATTATTAGCACCCATGCTCTGTTACACACAAACTCCTGTTAACTACAGTTCCAGGTAAAACCTACCATCTCTTCTGATCTTCACGGACAGGGGAATACAATTTTACATCTTCACTCTCAGACACTTACACATAATTAAAATTAAAATGAATCATAAAAAAGAAATATAAAAGGAAAACAAACATAAGTTATAATACAAGCATTCTTTATACTAAAAAAATATGAGGATATTTAAATATTTAAGCATGAAGATAAAAACCTCATGAATGAATCAACCAGATACCTGAATCATCTAAGACAAAATTATTTAGTATTAAAAATATTTAATTGTATTTATAAGAATTAATCAAAGTTGTGATCAAAATGAGCTAATACTATTTAATTTGTATAAGTTATTTAAAAGTGAGGATAAAGCTGGGCGGTGGTGGCACATGCCTTTGATCCCAGCACTCAGGAGGCAGAGGCAGGCAGATCTCTGTGAGTTCAAGGCCAGCCTGGTCTACAAAGCGAGTTCCAGGAAAGGCACAAAGCTACACAGAGAAACCCTGTCTTGAAAAAACCAAAAAACAATCAATTAATCAATAAATAAATACATAAATGTGAGGATAAAATGATGAAATAAATAAGGGATGTTAAGATGATTGCTGAGCACTTGAGAGGCCAAGGCAGTAAGAATTCCAGTAAAAGCCACAAATAAATAAATAAATAAATAAATAAATAAATATAAAAAAAGATGATTGCTGCTTAGAAATGTAAGATGTAAGTCAAGTTTACTACACAATAGGAATAAAGTATAGAAAAGCTAAATAATTAAAACAAGATTTCTGAGTATTATGAAATGTGTAATCATAATCATTTGACTAGAGTAAGAAATTCATAAATATGTATTTTAAGAAAAACACAGGAGCACATTATTATAAGGTGTTTAATATTCTCATGAAGATACCTATTATTTGAGATATATAGAGAGACCATCTACACCATGTCAATATTATAAACTGGCTTTAATTATATGTATGTTACTAATCATGACATATTTACTCTAGAAAAGGACTAAACAATGTTTACATTATTCACAATGCATAAAGGGATGGTTACATTATGATAATCAAATAAGAGCAGCAAATAAATATGAACTGCAATATCAATACTATGCTATGTTTGGTATTACATTTTAAATACAAAAAATGTATAATTTTGACATATACTTGCCAATCATGTAAGAGCACATGTCTGTCAAACAAATATGAAGATGTGCATATGGGCAAAATATAAATAGGAAGGCCCAATTTAGTTAAGATAAAATGAAACTCTGATTGACTAGATGAACCATTTTTAGAACTGAAATACATACAACAGAAATGAGGACACATGGTACTTTTTTTTTTCATTTTCCTACAAATAAGGAAGCCATTTCTAAGTTATCCAAAGTCATATTCTTTGCTGAAGATATTTCAAAATGCTATGAAAGAGGGCTCACCAGTTAACATCATGTGGTACTCTTGCAGAGGACTTAGGTTCAGTTCCCAAAACTCATATTGTGACTAACAAAAATTTCTGACCCCAGTTCTAGAGCATCAAAAGCACTCTTTTGAACTCCAAGGAAAATGTGCACACATGTTGCACAGATAGATATACAGACAAAAAAAATCTAATGAAAATAATGAAAACCTTTAAAAATAAGAATACCTAATTCAAGGCCAGCCTAGTCTACAGAGCAAGTTCCAGAACAGGCTCCAAAGCTAC